AATGTTCTGTGTGTTGCCATTATTTATTAAATATCATGTTTCGCAATGAAACCACATAAAATTCAATTCAACAGCAATATAGCAAAATATTTAAAAACAGCATATCTTTCTAATTTCTGATTCACAGTCTCGCGTGCTGGAGATAATTTTTTTTTTCGCAGAGTGTTGCCATTGTTCGCTTTGAAATCGTTGAGTCTGCTAATCCAAAATTCGTTAAAATTTCACAAAGTATCAAATAGGTAATGAAACAAATTCGAAATTCAAAACTCGGGCTTCCAGGTGCTCATGTTCGGGTGGAAGATTATGTTATTCAAAATTTGGTGGCTCCAGGTACCGTCGTTTTTTCACAATGTGAGGAAAATACATATATTAATCAAGATTGTTTATTATTTAATTTCTTTAAGTATAATGCGATATTAGGGAGATAATATTCGGTGGCAACAATTTAAACAGTGATTCTCTGTTTATGGTGAAACGCCACAAAATGCCGTTTTGAGACTAATAGCCCTTTTGGGTTACCAAACCTTTGGGCTAATAAATTATTAAATTTATGATAAATAGTTCAATAAAAGAAATAAAGTAACGGACCTCGTCTTATTTGGGGCTCCGGCTGGACATTTGCAATTACAATTTCAGCTCAGCCCATCTCCGGCCGAATTTTATCCCTGAATATGTGGTATAGTATATTATTTCAAGGGATGACAAAAAGTATAACTATTCTTTTTACAGCACACCAATGGAAAAACACATAACGTCACTAATGAGAATAGAGGCAATGCTAGGAACGAGAATATGGAATGAAAATTTAGCGAAGTAGAGTGGTTTCGGAAACAAAGAGAGGAGTCCAACACTTTCTGACCGCGGTGCCCTGCGGTTCTAGCTATCAAACAGAATGCGACTGCAAGAAAAATATTCCTCCGAATCCAATCCAATAACAGCATGAGAACAAACATAAGGTCTGCACAAGTGACAATTTTCATCCCACCGTATCTGGTTATGCAGTTCAAAAGTCTGCAGGAGCTTTGCAGCGTAGCTCAATAGCGTTGGACATGCACGACCAAGATATTTCCTTTCAGGAACGATAATTTTACTCGTTCTTATAATAGTGCACTAAGTGGATAATAAGATTCCTGGATACCTCGATAATATCCGCACTACCTTAATAATAAGATTTTGACATATAGGCGGGGATTCTCTTTCTTTTAAAAGTCTCAGTCAAAATGTTTGTTCCCCAGAGAAAAAAGGCATGCATACAGAAGCAATAATAGAATTTTAAAGCATATTTATAATTAGAAAAAAATTTGTCTGCTGAAACTGCGTTTCACTTACGTAAAAGGAGTGCCGGAAGCCTTTTATTTAGGGTTCCGTTGCGCTTCGGCGAGAATTACGATTTGACTCAAAAACTAAAAAATACCGTAGCTGGGCTCCGGTGAGCTTCGGTGCAACTGAAGCTCTGAGGTTACATCATCAACACACTGCGCGTACGACAAAATCACGTTCCGCGAAGTTAAGTTTCTGTGAAAAAAAACGGGTTAGATATAGTTCCGATTACGAATGTATGTATAATTTATACAAAGCTAAATGTTATTGTGATTAAAAGGGAAAAATAAAACAAATGTTTAGTTGAAAGGATTTTTATGACTGCTTAATAAGGAGGAACACCGCGAAAAAAAAAAATGAGACAGTTCTATATCTCCCGTTCTACTGGGCCGATTGACGAAATTCAACTTGCGTTTTTCATGTCTGGAAAGCGCGACTTAGACTATGTATTACATTTATATATAGCATTGTTCTAATAGACGTATTTTGAAGTAAAATCCAACTTTTCTGAAATGACATGCCATTTTTTTTCCATATTTCGATTCTATGACTCAATTTATGTCAAAATGCCAAATTTTGTAAAAATCGCACGAGTAGTTTTTAAAATATTAGCCCTCAAAATTTTAGCTCTCAATGTTAATTGAATTTGGTATATATTTATTATTCTTTTTTTTTTTTTTTTTTTTTTTTTTTTTTTTTATTAAACTTATTTGATTCTTCCTTTCACATTTCGAAATTTAGGTTCATTCCAAATAAAATTCGCCCATTTTTTATGATTCGTTTATTTAATTTGTATTTTCAAATAATTTTTATAAATTTTTCGAAAAAACTGAATTGTAACCTATAAAATTTTTACAATCATTTTAAGTAGATGTATTTCTAAGCATACCTGCAAGAAATCAGAGCATTTTATTCAAAATTTCGAAAATATGCGTGAATTTATATGTTGGCGAGTTTTGAAATTTGGCGTATTTGTTGAAAGCGAAAATAACATCAAATGTGGTTTAAGCACGTTGTTAAAATTATTTGGAAACAGAACGATGTGACTTTTTTCCCGCTCATGCTGAATGAAAAAAGGTAGGAACGATGCGACTTTTTTTCTGCTCCTGTACAATGGAAAGAAAAAGAAAATAGATTGCCATGTATTAAGAAGTTCGCCAAGTAAATTATTCTTGGTGCAAACTGAAAAAAAAAAAACGCGCCAAGATAAATTTTTGAATTTCTCCTTAAATTTTGCACCAAATTTTACAAAATTTAATATTTAGGCATAATTGAGTCGTAGAATCGAAATATGGAAAAAAAATTGGTATGTTATTTCATAAAGAGTCCGATTTTGTGTCAAAATACCTATGTATGAACAATGCTATATTTGAATCTAATATATATATATCCTAAGTTGCTCTTTCGAAACAAGAAAAAACGTAATTTGAATTTAGTCAATCGGCCGAGTAGAACGGGAGATATAGAACTTTATCCCACCCCCCCTTTTTTTTTGCGCAGTGTACATGATATAATAAATTTTTTCTTAATAGCTGGTGAGTTATTGGTACATAACACAATTATTTTTTTGCTTGGGACAATGTCTAACACAGATGATTAAAAGCTTCGTGGCAAGGAGTGAAAAGGTTTTCAATACTTCTCATAAAGTATCCGCTCCTCTCTTCATTTGTGTCAATCTTCAATTACAAAATATAAAACATTTCCTGCGCTTTTTATAACATTTTGTTTAATTTCTTTTACGATGGAGGCTCTTTATCTTTTGTACTGCCATTGCTTTTACCGTGTTCTGTTATTATAAAGTTATCCAATTCTTCATTAATCATTTTAAGACTGTCATTCTCGACTAATTGTTTGATTTCTTCTTCTTCCATATCTGAAAATACTTCCCTGTCTACCGCTTTTGCAATTTGTATGATTTCCTCGGCTTTATTTTCGGTCGATGGAAATTCAAATTCTTTAAAATTATTGGCAACTTCTAGCCATAGCTGATGCCAGCAGACATTCACTGTTGATGAATTCATTTGAGTTTAATCATTTATATTTAGTGTCTTATGCTGCATTGCCTCCAAAATGTCATTAGTGTGTCATGCGTTCCTTCGTCTAGCGGGTTATTTACAGAGATACTGTAAACTTGCCTTACATAATAGGTCTTGAATGTTTTTATGAGTCCTTGATGCACTGGTTGGATTAAAGAAGTAGTGTTTGATGGAAAGAATGAAACCTCTATAACTGGATGCATTGGTGTAAGGGCTTCAGCATTGTGTCTTAGAGCATCATGGAGAATTAGGAGAACTTTAAAGCTCAGTTTTTACTGTTATAAGCAATATTTGACTTAATAGAGAATTTTCAAACCAATCATTCTTGATTCCAAGCCTTCTTGATGGCACAAGATAGCTTCACCAATTCAGTGCAAATGCTGATAGTCGTTTAACAAGCGGTACAGCAATTTAGCTGGTGGTAAGTAAATAAGTAAGTCCAACGACGTATACAGACTATATTAAAAAGTTATGAACATATCAATAACTTCAGTCCCCGCGTTTAGCGCTTCAAGTTACGTTACTAGGGCATCCAAGCAGGTTGTGGTAAACAGCATTTCTCATACAACTGATACTTCAAGCGGCTTAGAACTTTAATTTATCATCCACATATTCTGGCTTTTTTTTTTTTTTTTTTTTTTCATTAAATGCATTTTTAAAATCCATCTTTCAAAGTAAAACACCTCATTGATTAATTAACTGAGCAAATTAAAAACTACACGCCATGTTTGTAGATAAGCTATGTTTTTATTTTATATTAATAATATATCTAACTGATGTAATTCATGCCAAAAGAGGTATATATTTGTAATCTTTTTTACATATTTTATGAAAAACAGAACTAGATTTTGAAACGCAGTTGATTCAATCTTTAATCAATCTAAATGACTGTTTTTACAAATATTTCCATCATAAATAAAATTAATAAAAAAAGTTTTTTAACGTGCATATTTTACGTTAGATCCATCTTACCAAAATCGCAGATCCCGGGCTTTAATCGTGATCTGGGGCTCTTAATTACGTTTATATTTTACCTAACAATGAATTTATTGCATTTTCCCTTTATGTGGTTCTTCTTCAGATGATAAATGAAGTAGGGAGGGAGAAGATTCGAATTACAAGCAGATAAGCGGTCAATTATTTATTTTGGTCCAAGTAAGCACGCGGATAATTTATGATAAAACTAGAACGACCTGTGGGAAACGTGAAACTAGGAGCACATCTTAAATATTTGAAAACAAATGGAAGAAACGGACTTTTCAAAATAAGCGTCACATTTATCATGCGTTCAAAAGGACCGAAACTTCGTTCTGTTTTTCTTGACAGTCAAATTACCAAATTTTCAAAGAAATGTCTGCAGATCCTCTCGCGACAAGATAAACAGTTCCATGCTTTAATTCTTTATTCTTAAACTAAATCGCGGTAAAAAGATGCACGTCATGTAAAAATCACCCCCACCCAATTGCGAAAAACAAAACAATTCGTATTAGTGCTCCGAATTCTACCGGAAGAGGAAAAACTGCCTTCAAAATAAGAGCCCATCAGAAAAACAAGGGAGAGTAAACGGTTCAGCTCGTCTCTCGTCCTGATTGGATGGTCATGGTCATGTGACCTGCGCTCACGATAACTAGTGGAGTTCTGGATTGTAAACTGTCAGACCATCTCTAGCGTAAGCGGCGGGAACGTTAGGAAAATTTTGTGTTCCACTAGTAGAGGCAAAGCGGCTTTAAAATCTTCGAAAGCTCTGAGAAATTTTCTCGATTCGATTGTTTTCGCCGTAACGTTGAGGTAAGTTTATTTCATCATTTGTTAAAAACTTACCAAGAGTGAATTTTCAGAAAGATCGTATTGGAATATTCGTTACTTATTCTTTTTTTTGTATTAAAAATATCTAACTATGTTTCGACAGGAATATTTTAATTTCATTTACAAAAGAGTAACATATGCAGTACAAATAATCAAATAATTATTTTGTAACTTGCGTACGTAATGGCTTTAGGGACACTTTTTATTAATTATGTCAATGATGTAAATGTCTATAAAAAGTTATCAGCCTGATATATTGATATTAAAAGTCTTTAGATTGAAAACGACATATTTATTTTCAAATTTTGTGGCCATTACACTAACAGGGCATTTGTTAATCCCACGATCCAACAATCGTTGCCATTGCATAAGATATGATATCTTTCATTTCTCTTCTCATGGCCTGTCTAATAGCCAATTTCCAGAGTACTGCCTTTCGATCTTTAATTTATCGTTCAGATGTAGCACTGTTGCTTAAAAAAGCTGATTTAAAAAGTGGTCTAAAGATAAAAAATCCACTTATTAATTTCTATTTTAGTTTTAATAATGTATATATATAATTCATTTAATTTACAATATATCCAATCAATAATTTTTATGAACATTTGCATTATTATTGCAATTAATAAAAAAAATGTTTCCTAACATTGTTTTACATATTCGGCATAGAATCTTCTGATTTTGTTTTATATAATAAAAATTATTTTTTAAAACATATTTAATTGTTATTTAGATGATTTAAAATGAAAGCAAATTTTTTTTTTAATTCGTAATTTTTAGACTGATAAGCACTTTAAATGGCTCTGATTCGAAAGGTAATATAGATAAATAATTAATAAATAAAATGAGGATAAAAGTTATTCTGATGCACATAAATTGTATTTAAATTGCTAAACACAATGCCCCGTTGCACCTAACTACATGTGTTTTTATTTTAAGATATGCTTCGTATTTTAAGAAATGCTTCGTGTAAGAACAAGCAGTTCGACCAGCAGTGTGGATGATTATATAGAATTTACTGGAAGTACAATGACAACGGCTATCTTAATTAGCGATTTGCTTGGCTACATGCATGATCAATGCAAAAATAAAGTAATATATGGGTTGTAAAATTTGAGGGACTAGGCTTCTAACTTTGAAAAGGCTCAAATCTCTGTTCAACGATTTATTCTGATCTAACATGCTGTCTTTTTTAAAACTCCATTCTAAAGTTATTCCGAAAAATATGATTATCTAAAATCATGTAGAGTAGTTAGATAGTAAAAAAGAGTTACAGATTTCATTATTAAAACTAATCAAATTTTAGATTTGCTGAAAAAAGGTAAAGAATTAATCTACGTGTCACACAGAACTTTTACATCATGGTAATATGAACACTCGACAGTCAGAATGCTTCAAATAATGAAAGTGATTTCTTTCTGGTCTTCCGCAAATGAAAATGTGTCTGCTGTTAGGAAATGGTAAAGAACCAAACCTAACTAGTAACGATACGTATTTTTTTGTTTCGTTTTGTTTATTGTGGTAATGACATTATATGAAAGTTAATTTACTTTATATACAAATATCTTTACAAACATAACTTATCTATTCGCCTTTGAATTTTACGTTTGGAACCAGACGCCTGTTTTTTTATAATTACTGTATTATTTCGTTGAGTTTTTTATTCGACAGCCTGTTTATTGAAAAAAAAAAAGTATTGAATGTATTTTTAATTTGTAAAATACCAGAAATTGTCTTTTTTATCTTTACTTAAAATCTATTAAATAAATATTAATTCAAACGAACATACTACTGCCATTTTGTATCTAAGAAAGCAAGCATTCTTAATGCAAAAAAATCACTTTGAACGAAGCATGGATCAGCAGTGTTAAAATGATGGATGTATGCAAGACGTAAATTTGTTTACAATGTTCAACAACTGCAGATGATCGCATTTGTTGAACATTCGCAAACGATTCATTGAATACAAATGTACATTTATATCTTGAATAATTAAATATTTTCTTCAGTACGTCTTTATGTAGCTTAAATATTTTTGCTAGAGTAATATTATAGAGAAATTTTTTAGCCCTCTCTCCGCCATTCATTATTTGGTTTCGAACAGCTATATTTAAATGTGTGACATTATTTAAAAAGGTAACTTTAATTTGGCTTAAATTTTGAATAAAACTGTACCAATTTCGAGACGAATCAACGGAGTTTTATTCGAAATCAACTCCAAACTAAGACTGCGTTTTTATTCCCCCTTTATTTAAATTTTACATTGGCATGTTTCTCTTCCATTTGTTATAACATCATGTTCTGTATCATGAATTTCTGGAATTAACTTTTAAACTATATTTTCTTTCTTTAAAATGGTCTCTTCAAGACAATTGCCAGTCCTCCCAATTTGCGATCATAATATTTGTCGGCATTTTCTCCTCCTGATTTGAGATTGTAATTCATTCGGGCGCTTTCCATGAAGCAAAACACGCTAGACGAAAATAAGTCGAGGAAAAAAATAATAAAATAAGCCGCTCAAATCGTCTGCTGCAGCTGTCGTTCCTATGGTTACGAGAAAAGCTGGACGGCAGAAAATAATCTTGAACTTGCTATTTTAAAGGAACAGACTATAATAGGCACATTGTAACTTTTGCCTTATTAAAACCATTTTAGGTCTTTAACTAAAATTTGGAAACAAATATTAAATTACATTTTAACATCTGTAAGAGGTTTCATTGCTTTCGGTTACATTTAAAATCATATCCTAGTAAAATAAAATCCTTAGACACGATCTTATTTTGGGAAAGTGACAGAAAAAAGCAACATTTATCATCCGCATGGCTTGGCAAATGTTGCCATTAGGAAAATAAAGATCTTTAATTTATCTTCTGCACGCCCTCGAACGTAGTCAGTGTTGCCATTTGACAAGCATAATATTTTCAATATATATATCAAATTTAATTAGTTTATTGATTAACAAATGAGCGACATAAAAACAATAAGCACATTCCTTTTAATAATTAAATCTTTATTTTTTTTGGTAATGTATCTCATTGATACAATTATAAAATTATTTAATATATAATGTATCTAACTGAGGATTTTAAAGACGATGTGCAGCTTTTCGTACTTAATAAAACATTTTCTAGCTATATGTCATATATTTCGTACAGTATAATTTGTTTTCTTCATTTTTATGATATTTTACTTTCTATAATTTAAAAATTCTTTAATGGTAATGATTGAGGTGTTATACTACTATCTGCAGTTTTCAGATTGCACTTTCAACAGCTCTTTGTAATTTGGAGTCTTCTATGCAATTTTATGCTTTAATAAATGAAATATAGGAAAGTGTTGACTGTTGTACCTAAAGCTAAAAGTTTGAATAAAATCAATGGAACACTGTGAAAATAATTACTGAAGTCGAGTTCCTTGAAGGAAAATTCAGCGGCAAATACATAATGAGAAGGAAATAGCAGCTTCTTCATTACTAATCAGAATCTCAAACGAATGGACAATACCCGGCTGCGTAGATGATCCGAGTCTCACGATCCTACTGCAGACTGTGTAGATGTTTCAAAAGAAGGATCTAGGGTCTGTAGGGATGATCGAAGCGGAGGATCCAGGCTCAAGCTAGGTGGATGATTTAGGTCCAGATTGTGTGAATAATGAAAGTAAAGAATCTAAATGCAGGTGAAGGATCTCGAGAAACGTCACTTTTGTTGCTTGACATAGCATTAATTGGCGTCGGGGTGGGGGGAAAGCAAAACTACACTAGGCTGTAGATAGTTCTCTGAGAAGGTTATTCTGAGTGGCCGTGCTTGAGACCCGTGAATACTGAAAGTTAGACTCGGGTTCAAACCAAGGCATGTTGCATGCGTGTTTTTTGCCCTTTTGTCCTTGTGTAACTTGAATACAAGCCACTTTTCCTTAGAAAGTCCTTCAAGAAGGATCCCTGTCGTTAGGCAGATAACCCTCGAGTGCTATGTCATTTACAAAATAACCTAACCTAACCTCAGTGCTTATTGATGGATGAAGTGTGATTTTACTTTTCCTTTTAAATTCAATTCTTAATAGAAAGAAAGTAATTTAATTCGGCTTTCTAAGTTCTTAATTGAGTTCAGAGACACTACCTATGAAAGTTTAATTTTTTTAAGAGAGGGCTTCCTTACCTATTTCTATCTCACACATACCTTTTCATTGGCAAAATTATTTGTACCGCACCTAATCACAGCGTTATTAAGCAATTACTTAGTCTTTCCATTTTTAATATCCTTTATCTTTTACGCTACTAAACAGTAGTCAACACTCATATTATCCAGTTGCCTTTTTCATTCCGATTGCTGTCACTAATCTATGTGGTTTAAGATAATCATCTTTCAGATTAAAACAGAACTACTTGTAAAAAAAACTGAACGATTTTGAATCAGTATGCAATCGTGCTCTGGTACTTGCTGATTCAGTACTCGCTGTTTCAATTATCTGAGGTTTATCTTAACGTAAAGCACTTTTTGAAAATGTTAATTAATAAGCATTCATTAGGTCATTAGCACGCATTAAATGAGCACCAAATATTAACAGATGGGCAGTTAAGGAATCGCTGTTCAGGATGATATAATGGGCCATTCTTTAGCATTAATACTACATTAAATGCAACCAGACTTCCCTTATGGATATTCATCCGACAATGTAGACAGGTCTTGTCAAATCATAAGTATATATAAGTGCCTATAAGTGAGAATATTTAATAGAGTAATGGAGAAAATTAAGTCTTCAAAAATTTTATAAGGCAAACGTTTCGCTTCAGTCCCTAAGAAGGTTATTTAAAATCTAATTAAAAACTTAAACTTTACCATCCAATAAATACGAAGTTTATATTAAAGAAAGAATTCATGGTTGAAAGTTTGCTTTTATAGTGCCTTTGTTCGCTCTGTAGCAATATTTCTGTAATTTTCAAATGACAGTGGGGTCACATTTCATATTTGTAGAAATAGCCTTTT